TGTTTGGTAAGGTGGAGGGTCAGAGATAAAGAGGAAGACCCTAGTGAGATGGACTGGCAAAGTGGCAGCATCAAAGTGCTCAAGCATAGCAATCATTTGTGAGGTTGCCTCAGGACTGGGCAGTGTTTCGTTCTGTTGTATATAGGGTTACTATGAGTCAGTACCAACTCGATGGCACCTAACAACAACAACAACGCAGCTCTTGTAGCACAGTGGTTACAAATCAGGTTGCTAACCTCAAGGTCAGCAGATCGAAACTACCAGGTTTTCCACTGGAGAAAGAGAAGGCTTTCTGATCCCTAAAGATTTACAGCCTCAGAAACCCTATGAGTCGGAACTGACTTCACGGCACATAACCAACCAACCAACCAACCAACCTAAGGCAAAATTCCCTCCCACTCATGTTCTCCCTCTCTCCATTTCTCTGAGTTACAAACTCTTGGCATAATCCTCCTAAACTCCTGGCAAATCTAGTGAGGACCACTCTGATGTCACCCAGATGATGAAAAACAAATTTGGACCAATTTCAGAATAGTCCAGGTGAAACATGGAAATTCAGAAAGACAGGAGGCAGAAGGGAATTCCCCAGATTTAGCTGTCCACATTAACTGACTTTACGAAATAATGATTTAAGTCTCATATTATTGTTGTTATTAAGTGTATTCAAGTCAGTTCTTATCCATAGCAACCCTTCATTAGAGTTTCTGAGGAGTGACTCGTGAGCTTGAACCACCTACCTTGTGATTCAAACCAACTTTGCAGTCCAGCACATTAACCCACAGAGCCACACCAGAACACCTTGAGTCTCATGTTGTTGTTCTTAAGTGCCATCAAGTCGGTTCCAAACCAGAGCGACCCTGTATAGGGTTCCACCAGAAATTGCTCTGGTAGCATAGTGGTTAAGAGTCAGGCTGATAACCGCAAGGTCAGCAGTTTGAAACTATCAGCTGTTTCTCAGGAGAAAGATGAGGTTTTCTGCTCCTATAAAGATTTATAGCCTCAGAAACCCTACCCAGGGTCACTATGAGTCAGAACCAACTCCAAGGCACACAACCACCACTACCATGATATTTGCTTTTTTGACTGCACAGGGCACACATAGAAAATGAAAATGTTGGTAGAATTCTCTAGTGTCAAGGACTGGAACTAGCTCCAGGTATGCAGGCCTCTTCAGGTCCTGCTTGCTTGGACGGACACTAAGAAGGCTGAGGGAATCAAAAGTGTGGTAACCAGTTAAGAAGCTTAATCCTTGTAATCTGAGTAACATAGCCTAATGTCCCCTTACCAAAGTGCTGTCTCATTGCATCCTCAACTCAGCCAATCCATGGGTCTTCTTTCCCCACTCAAGTCACTGGCCCATCAATCAAGATAGTCCTGCTTGCTAAGGGAGCCGCCATGCTCCTTCCCATCCCAACTCAGGCCAAGGGCTAGTCCACCCTGATCTTCATTCTAAGGTGATCTAGTCCTATGACTTACAATGCCCAAGATTCTTTCTTAAAGGCTGAATGGCAAAATCATTTTCAAAACACATAGATGATTTTGACATGAAATACACATGTTCTCAGCACCTGCCTTCACCTTCACATTCTCATGATTCACTTCTCCCATTGAGCCTAAACTCTAGAAGGAACCTTTCTCTGGAGGAATCTTTCTCTGTGTGTAGCCTGGAAACTACCTGCTGTAGAGAGGGGTAAGGGAGCGCTTGTTTAAAAATGCAAATTTCCAAGTTCCACCTTCACTTTACTAATTTCAAATCCCTGGAGATAAGGCAGGGAATGGACTTTTTAATCAGCTCCCCAAATGATTGTTACACACACCAGAGTTGGAGAGGTTCTGATTTAAAACCCAGTTCCCTCCCTCTACAGAGAAGGAAAGTCTAACGCAGGCACCTGAGAGGTGAACCGAGCTTGTCCAAGGTCACAGGACACTGAAGTGACCAGGCCTCGACTGGAACCCCCTCCCTCCCAGATAAGCACTGTATGAGCCAGGAAGAGTCTGGAATAACAGAGAGGCATCAAATAGCCCCTTCCCCGAGGCCAGCGCCTGCACTCACCCGCTTGTAGACATCCTCCCTGCTGGTCTCATACTTCTGCTGCATACGCTCCTCTAGGAAGTAGATGCGCAGCTTGAGACTGAAGTTCTCCTTCTTCAGGTCATTGAGGTGCTGGGACAGAGTGCGATATCCATTAGACATGATGGGCAACCCATGGGGAGGAGCATACCCAGTGGCTCCCTCACCCCAGGAACATAGTGCCGCTGCACCACGGCATGAAGGGAGTCTGCCCGGACGCTGCTGAGGCTTCGGGGACGTGGAGGCCTGGGCTACGGCGACATGGCCCAGGTCGCTGGCGATCTCTCAGGGACTCTGGGGATTGGGCTCACTTGCTCTGGGTGCCGGAGCGCAGCACACTTTCCTTTTTTACCTCAGGGAGATATTTGCGGAATCCCTGACAGAGGAACATGCTGCGCGAACTCAGACACAAGTGGTGTAACCTGACTCCAAGCCAGGACTAGGCTGTCACCCTCCTGGAGCCTCCCTGGCCCAACTGCAGGCAGTTAACAGCTTCTCAGAGGAGAGAGAGGGCTGACCCCTAAAAGCTTCCAGGAAATGAGGAAGGGGGGTAATTCAAGGTGATGGGGTGGGGTTGCAAAAAAGAGAAGAAAAGGGGGTCATATGTGTGATGGGTACTTCACTAATTTGGACAATAAAAGTCAAAAGAAACAAGGCTGTTGTTATAAGAATCAGTACCTATACTGTGGTCTACAAAGTGGTGGTTATTGTTAAGTGCCCTGGAGTAGGTTCCGACCCATAGTGACCCTGTATAGGGTTTCCAAGGAGCGACTGGTGAGCTTGAACCGCCGACCTTGCCGTTCAAACGGTTTTGCATTCCGGTGCATTAATCTACAGTGCCACACCAGGACTCCTAAAGTGGTGGTTCAGTATCAAATACATTACAAGATTTTTAACTCATTTCTGTCAGTTACAAATCTCAAAGGGCTTCTAATGATTGGGTTCTTTAATTTTCTCTGATGATCCAAATGCTCTCCTCAAATCACTTCCTTTCCATTCTTTTTCCACACTAAGGCAGTTAAATTAGTTAAATTAGTAGTATTTGTCACCACCCATCTCCCCAAGGGGATTGGTGGTGGTTATGTGCCGTGGAGTCAGTTCTAACTCATAGCGACCTTGTACAGGTTTTCCGAGGCTGTAAGTCTTTACGAAAACAGAAATCCTCATCTTTCTCCCCAGCTGGTAGTTTCCATGACCTTAAGGTTTGCAGCCTGATTCGTAACCACTACACTACCAGAGCACCTTTATACACACCATAACTATCCCCAAAGAAAGAACAAATATTCTAGTTTGGTGGAATCTTTACAAACTCTGTGTACTAGTTACACTAGCTCACAACTAGGCATGACCTAGTACTCCTCTCTCCAAGGGAGGGATAAGGGTAGGAGAGGGAGGGAGCCATCAGCCAGGAGCCCAGAGATTTCAGCCAGTTACTGGATCTTAACTCAGGCACCTGCCAAGTGGAGCCAAGCACTCATCACCAGATCCTGCTCAAAAGCAATTTAAGATCCTTGAATGACAGCTGCAACATAAGCAGGAAGTATTATTTATACCACATCTCATAGGACATTGAAGGTGACTGGGAGACAACCCCACAGCACAGATATCAAACACAGGCTTCTTGGCTGTAATAACACTGGGTTGGAAATCATTTCACATACTCATTCGTTTAATAGTCAAGATTAAGACAACTTTAAAGTTTATATGTAAACACTCACTCACTTCCTTCCCGATTAACCTGCTTTTCATTCTTCAAATTCCTTCTCAAACCTTCATAAATTCAGTCAACATATTCTGAGTAACCCACGAGTGAGTTAGTATGTCGGGCAATACAAAGATGAAGTCCAAACCCTCACATAGCTTGGTGGTCATAGTCCTCCAAGCCTATGTTTCCAAACACAACCCAGTACACACACACACATACACAACTGAAGCAAACGTTTCAAAAGTCATCGTTACTGTCACTATATGTGTTCCACCGATTTTCTTTTCTATTTCTCTCTTTGGCAGTGATCCACTAAACTGCCTGCATGATCCACTAATGGACTTTAATCTGCAGTTCAAAAATTACTGAATCTATGGGAACCCAGAAAAAAAGAGTGGTTGATGCTGACTGAGATGTCAATAATTTAATGAAAGTTTTGTAGAAAGTGAAAACTGTATATGAGTGAAGAGTATTCTTATCCAGCCTGTATCTTCTTTTCAGTACTTTTAATCCTGTTTAAATCTTACCATGCCATCTCCCTTAAAGCCTTTCATAGGCATCTCATCACTGTTAATATAAAGGGGACATCCCACCACATCCCTTCAAGATACCTTGCCTCTTCTTTCAAGTTCTACTCTAGCCTGAAAGATTTCTTCTTTCCTGAATTTCTAAGGCATATATTAAGAATCCATGGGTGGTACAAATAGTTAAATGCTCAACTACTAACCAAAAGGTAGGTGGTTAAAACTCAACCAAAGATGCCTTGAAAGAAAGCCCTTGCGATCTGTTTTCAAAAAGTTGCACTCCTGAAGACTCTATGGAGCCTAGTTCTGACCTACATGCATGGGGTTACCAAGAGTAAGAATCAATTCAATAGTAACTAGTTTGGGTTTGTGTAAGACAAATATTGACATTTGGTGAGTGTTCTTTTTTTAAAAAAATTGTGCTAGGGTGAAGGTTTACAGAGCAGATAATCACTTTTACATTCAGTTCCTACACATTTTATTTCATGTCATTGGATGCAATCCTATCAATGTATACAGAGAGAGTCCTGATGTGGCTCCGTAGGATAAGCACAGCATCAGAAGCCCAAACCCACTAGCTTACCAGCTGCTCCTTGGAAATCCTATGCAAGGTCACTATGAGTCAGAACTGACTCAACAGCACTTAACAACAAAACAGCTCTCTCTATATATGTGTGCTGTCTCATGATACTGCTTTTATTGTTATTTTAAAAGGTTATTTACACCTTTTAGACCTTCTTAGATATCATGAATTTATATCTCTCCAACTAGATAGTAAGTTGTCCAAGACAAGGACCAATGACTTCCATGTCCCTAAGGAGCTCTGGTAGCATAGTGGTTACGAATCGGGCTGCGAACCTTAAGGTCAGCGGTTGGAAACTACCAGCCGCTCCGCGGGAGAAAGATGAGGCTTTCTACTCCGGTAAAGATTTACACCCTCGGAAACCCTGTTACAGGGTCGCTATGGGTTGGAACCGACTCAACGGCACTTAACAACAACAATTTACTCCTACAGCTTTCACAACAGCCTCTCCAGACACAGTCGTCCTGCTGTGTGGTCCAAGCTTGTCTACAGTCACCTCAACCTGGTCAGAGCATTCAGTGGCCTGGCAAGCAATAGCTTCTCCCTGTATTCTCATTGCACAATATTTAGGAAATGTTCCCTAAATATTTGCTGAATTAATAGAGAACACTCCAATACTCCATCAGTATTTTACATTTAACTGATTTGATTTGCTATATATAGGCCAGCTTGCCTGTAGTAGTCTTACAACATTTCAATAATATTAAAAGGTTTAATAGTTCCAAAGAAAACTATAATTGCTAGCATGTTTATTGTAGAAAATTGATGTCTTGTTCAGCAACATTTCTAAATGTATATACCCACTGTGATGTCTTCCCGGACCTCTAACTTCGTAGTAGAATTCACCACTTGGATGTCTAATATAAGCATCTCATACTTGTGACATCTAAAACTGAGCTCCTGATCTTTTCCAGCAAACATGCTCCATGCTCATGGAACCCCATTTCAATTTGTAGCAACTTAATACTTACAGTTGTTTGGCCACAAACTTTTGAGTTATCCTTGACTCTTCTCTAATCTGCCTTCAGATTTTACTCTACCTTAAAATATATAGAGAATCCAGCCATCCACCACCACCACCACTATATCTCTATACTTTGATCCTTCATCCACTACTATTATCTTTCCTCTAAGTTATGTGAATAGTCCCCTACATTGGTCTCCCTACAGTCGATTTGTAACACAATAACTACAGTAACCCTTTTAAAATGTAACTCTGGTTACTCCTTTGATGAAAACCCCCCAAGACTTCCCATCCAATTGAGAGTGAAAGGTAAATTTCTTTCCTTAGCCCATAAGACCCAAGGCCCAGCAGAATCTGGAACCTCCCCTCTTGTCACCTCCCATTCTCTGTTTCTTTTTTCTTCCTACTTTGTCCTTGTGTATTCTGCTTTAGCCACAATGCTCCTCCATACTGTGCTTTTTCTTTTCTTTACTTTTCGATAATAGCAAACACCCTCTTTCCTCAGGGGCTTTGAACTGGTTATTTCTTCTGTCTGGTATGTTCTTTTTCCATATGTCTCTATGACTCGTTCACTTTCTCACATTCTTCAAACCCTTGCTCAGATGCCACCGTCTTAATGAGGTGACCACCCTATTTAAACTGCAGCCCATTTTGTGCTTCACCCCAGCATTCCATGTACCCCTTCATTGTTCCCCACAGCACTATTACCCTCTGAAATATTATATTTACTTCTTTGTTTCTTCTCTGTTTCTCCTCACTAGTTTATAAGCCAAAGTTGTTGGCTGTTTTGTTCACTGTTGTATCACACAATACCTGGTACTAGTAGGTGCTCAATAAATATGGGTTGAATTAAAAACCGGATGCATTAACCTGCTGATTTTGACTTTACTGGATCTGACTCTAACAAATCTCAATCTGTATGTAAAATGACACAGATTTTTCAGGATGAAAACATACCTACAGCATTCTTCCATATAAAGAGGGGTGTTTTTTTTATAAGCAAAATAAATTATTCAAGTACATTTAAATTTGAAACATAATGCAGAAGTCTAGACTTTGTACAAGTGTCTGAACAATGAATGGGGAATAATAAATGACAGATTGTAACTAAAGGATAATATGAAATGTACAAAAGTAAAATTTATAGAAATTAGGAAATAGAGGCTCTCAGGGAAGGTTCCACAGAGAATTGAGATTTTAGGTCTTAAAAGATGAATCACAATTGGATAGGCTGGGAGGACAAGGTACTCTAGAAAGGTGGAACATAAGCAAGGATCACAGAGATGCAACTGGATGGAAACAAACAAAAAATTGCTGTTGTTGTTGTTGTTAGGTGCCATCAACTCAGTACCGATTCACAGTGACCTTATGTACAACAGAACAAAACACTGCTCAGTTCTATGCCAATCCATGGAGCCAATCCATCTACTTGGGGGAATCCCTCTTTGTCGCTGACCCTCCACTTCACCAAG